AAAGCAGTCAGATCTGATTAATTAACTGGTGATTGTACTGCTGTCAAAGTAAAACTAGGGTTGAGTTAAACGATTTAAATGGCCGGTTGGGATTTAATGTGTAATATCTGCGCTGTGTTTAGACTACTTCCGTTTGGTTGCTATGACAACAGCAGAAAAGTTCCGCTCGTTCCGTTAACGTACTTCTTCTACTTTTCTGTCTGCCATCTATCGCCATCGAAATGATTTTGACCAGCACGCAAGTCAAAGTTTGGCCAACAAAGTAGAAAACAACTGATAATCTCCAAAATGTTGATATTTTTTGCTTTTCTTTGAATAAAGCGACAGTCTGAAACCTTGTTTTATGTTTTGGATCTTTAAGAATTTATATATTTCATAAAAGTTTTGTTTATTATTGAGCAGGTAGAAGTAAAAAAAGGAAAAATCACAATAAACTCATTCTTGCATTTTAAATTTAACAAATTTGGGACCTGAGAGTAATTTAAATTTGCCAGTTTTGGGCCGAGGGGCAAAAAGTTTGTTTATTATTGAGTAGGTAGAAGTAAAAAAGGAAAAGTTTGGACACTACTTCAATAGATGTTATTCAACATGATACTTGCTTGAAGAAACTTGCATAATTTGGGAAATACCGTGTTTTCTCTTACTTCCTCTTCTCCAGAAAAGTAATATCACTGCAAAAATCACCAAATTTTATCAATTGTTTTTGATCTAGTTTATATTGCAAATATCTTGGTACAACTGAAATAAGACAAAACTAACATACCTTTTTAGCAAGATGTAGAAGCTTGTCTTAGGTCAACAATGTCTTAATGTTGATTTTAAAAAGTCTTAGTTCCGCTTATATTTTTTCACTTATAACAAGACATTTTTCCCTTATTATTAATTAAGGAGTTATTTACCTAAAACAGGCTTCTATATCTTGCTCCGGAGTTACTTGTAAGTTAGTTTTGTGTTAATTCAAGTGTGCTTGAAATTAGACCAGAATACTTGGTAAGGTTTTGTGTTTTTTGCAGAGATAGGAATGCTGATCTATCATGGAGAGAGACGCACATCAGCTGGAAGTGACCTCTTGGAAAAAGAGGGCCTTATCTCCATAAACACCCTGACGGTGGAGAACGGAGTCCAAGAAAATGACACTTGATTTTGTAATTGCACACACAGCAAAGTCAAGAGTTGATACTTTGCTGTTCTGTTTGTAAAAGTCAATGTTTCAACATTTTCCTCCTAAGGTAACGATGGTCATTATGGTCAAACAACACAAATTTAGTGTCATTAGACCACAGGACATCTCTAAATATTAACACCTTTGTGCCTCTGCAAACTGTAATGTAACTTTTTATGTAGGGTTTGAAACACTGGCTTTTTCTTTTCTGAGCGGCTTTTCAGTCCATTGTGGTAAAAGACTCGTTCCACCGTGTTTCATAGTCTCTTAATTTTTTTTCTGTTTGATACAGTCATTATCGCAGCATAACATTTTCATTTCTGATAGTATAATTGCATGTAATTTGCAAAAGTTTACAAAACCATGACATCATCATCTGGGTTTTACCAAATTGTTTAAATTGTCTGGTTTGAACTGTTGTTCACACAGCGAACTGCAGGGAGGCTGTGTTTTGTATTTTTCTTTTTGCAGACACAAAGACATCATTGACCCGTTTCCAAGGACAGCAAACCCCAGTGCTTTGTTACTAAACACTCACAATGATAGAGGCATGGAGTTCCTTCACATCTTTATGTTTTCTTTATCTTTTTCTTTCTCCCAGGACGCCTGTTGCACTTTCGGCACCTGATTTCTCTCGTAAGTTCTTCACTTTCCTCCCTATTTTTAATGTGTGGGTAAAAAAATGCTGATGCGTGATTTTCCACATGTGTGGGCTTCCACAACAGGAAGTGTCGGAAAGACATTTCCTAACAACATGCACATCCTTCTTTCTAAGCTGATGACTTAGCTGCGAGATTGAAGTCAGGGTGAAGAGGCAGCAAGAAAAAATATGAGGGAGAACCAGATATCTTTCTTTTTGGACAGTGAAAGTAATTGCTGTGTGGTGATTGTTGAGACACGGTTTTGTTTTTAAGCTTTGTGTATCTGACAGTAGCTGTTAGAAGTTTTTGTTTGGCAACAAGCTAATAATAGCTCTTTGTGAATAAGTGCCTGGTACGGCCAGAGAGCAGCAAACAAGCAAATGTCGCCTACGTAGGACATTACAGTGCTGTGCAAAAGTATTGAGACTTTCTATGCTTTTCCTCATTTTGTGAAGTTGCAATCATAACTCCATTGTATTTCATTGAGATTTTATGCAGAAGTAGTGCCAAAATGTGGAAGGAAATGATGCAGATTTCAATATTTTTTAGAAAATAAAACTATAGCATGTATTTGACTCATCCCTCTTTATTCTGATATCCATAAATAAGCATATCAGAATATTCATATTTATGGAGTCCAACCACTAAAGGGATTGGAATATGTTGTAAAGCATGGATAAATATTTCAGGCTCTGGAAGTAAAGAGTCAATAGAGACATACACTTCAAGCTTGCAACTTGCAAAAGATGGTTGTACAAAGGAATAGTTGAAAACATGTCCTGCATTATTTTTGTCTACTTTACAAATATGTGCTACTTTGTTCCATCACATAAAATCCTGATAAAATACATTAAAGGTGACTTATTATGCTTCCTCAGACAGATTAGGATAAGTATAAGCCTATGCAAAACATGTTCATTACCTTTTCTGCTCAAAATCATTCTTAAAGATGAGATTTTAGTCTATTTTGAGCTCCTTTCAGATTGAGACGTTTTAGGGCCTCTTGTCACTTTAAATCCAAATAATCTGCTGCTGGCCATGCCCCCAAACTCAATGTTTATATTCACACGTGAAAATGGCTGCAATTTGAGCACAATTATACAACTGTACATGTTTAAAAAGCAGAAGTAGAGCCTCCTGCACAACCAACAAGCAAGCAGCAAGGAGTTTCTGGATGGTAAGTAAACAAAAAAAATGCCATTGTCTGCATATAAATTACTTTTAGTTACAATTACAGTCATATTGATTTACCTACATCATTTTATATATTTATATTTTATAAACTTGATCTCTTATGGTTATATTTGTGTTGTTAATATTTAACACCTTAGATGGAGTAGCTTGTCAACGAATAGCCAATTTCCCCATGGGGATCAATAAAGTCTATTCTATTCTATTCTATTCTATTCTATTCTATTCTATTCTATTCTATTCTATTCTATTCTATTCTAAAACCAGATAACCAAATGAGCTGGAACTTGGGTTGCTAGGTGACGGGCAAACTCTGCTGGGGTTGCTAGGTGACAGCTCAGTGCAAGTTGATTGTGACGTTACATTCTGGAGGTTTTTGCACCAAAAATATTAACATGAACCTCAGGGTGTTTTTTAAGCGTGTTAGCTGTGTCTAGAAGCAGTAGAAACCCAAACTGAAGTACAAAAATATGAATTTTGTGTAGTAGAGTCTCTTCTCTAGATTTCCTAGTTTGTGTTTATACTGACAAATGTGAAAGTTGTCCTCTAGAAATAGTCAAACTACATTCAGTCAGTGACTATTCCATTAAATATGAACCACAGTCCCTGAGTTTTGCCTCACCAGCAGAGGTGGATCCCACATGACAGCATCAGAGGAACTACTGTACACACATAAGAGACAGGGGGCCTCTACAGGAAATACAGATGGGAGGGGAGACTTCAGTTCGGTGTCTTTGTGTTTCTGCGAAACATGATTGTCTGTGTGGTCAGAGTCCAAACATTGTCTTGGAGAGCTACACCCAGTGACGAAGACTTGGGGACACCACCCTGTCCACATGAAGCCGGGCTGAGTCACATGGACTGTAAATAGCCACATTTATGTCTTACAGACCACTAATTGCTTATCAAGACATCCCTGATGAATAAATATGAAAGAGGGGGGAAGTGGAATAATCTCATATTTGTGTTTCAGTGTATCTCCACAGTATTCTGAAGAACCACACGGCTCACGCTTGTGAGGGAGACCTGCTTGTCATCAAGTGTCCCTCCAGGACATCTGTAGCCGTCCTATCGGCCTTCTATGGAAGACGTGTCCCTAATAAACACTTGTGCCCTGCACCAAACGCAAACATCACAGTAGAGGAGGAGGACACAGATTGTACTTCCTCCACCGCTTTAGAGGTAGATGAGACTGCAGTCATGTGATTTATTACAGATATTTCCCATAATTTTCCATGCCATTGCCACTAAAACAATGTTAGCTTCTGACCGGGGACGTCAATATCAATAGATATGATAGAATATTCAATACACAGAAAACACACCGAACTCCGATTCAGAACCACACAGCATTCTGGGAGATGTAGGCAGCAGAAAAGCATAAGTCACTCAACCTCTCACAACCAGCTAAAACAAGGTTGCTGGAATCAACTAACTAATCACTCTTTGGTTACCTAGCAACTCATTCACTCTGTGGTTACCTAGCAACAGCCTGTTAAGTAACTTGCAGTTTCAAGTTTCAGCACTGCCTTGTAACTGCTTAGAAATAAACAATAATGAGGAGTAAAAAGTGGGATAAAAGTTTTTCACATATTTAAAACAAATAAAAAAATAATAATTATTGATATTGATATTTATCGATATTGAATGATGTGAAACTCTTAAACAGTGATAGGTTTTCACCCATATCTAATACTTACATTTATCAAAAGTTTAAAATTTGATTTAAAAATGTATTGGATTACATTTTTTTTTTGTTTTCCATTTTTTTCACATCTTCCCTCCAACCTCCTGATGTCCTCACTTTGAAAAATGCAGATTTATTACATCATTGATTCATGTAGAATGCCAGATGTTTTCCTGCTGTTGCAGAAGGCGCAGTCGGAGTGTCAGGACGAGCGGTCATGTCACATTCCCGTCCTCGCTCCTGTGTTTGGACCGGATCCCTGTCCACTCACTACCAAGTACCTCTTGGTGTCTTACAAGTGCAAACCAGGTACATCAATGAGTACTTTGAAAACAACTACTGTGTTTTAGACTGAATTAACTAAGCTAAACATTTTGTTTGTTTTTCAGCTCAATATGCTATATGGTATGAACAATGAATGTTGGACTAATTTTTTTTTTACATCACACAAATATGGGGATATTACCAGAGATAGAAGACTTTTTTAAAATGTAAAAAAAAATGAAAAGAAAATATTTTAAAAATAAGGAAGAAATTTCTTCTTTACACATCGAGTTCTGCAATAAATAGCACAATTATTTTCATTTAGCTATAAACTATTAGCTTTACATTTGACTTTTGTTGTTTTAATTCAAAGTTTGGTTGACTATTTCAATATATTCTAACTTTTAGTGTACCTCTTCTTAGGCTACATTACCCCTGCAGCCTGGATGGAGCCAATTCTGATTTTTTGTCAAATTTGACAGTTTTTGCCGTGGTCTTTCACACTTGCAAATATATGCAATCTGTACGTGTTCTCCAGTGTGAACTGTAAACGACCTGAACGTGTCCCGCATGCGCAGTAGAGGGCGCAATAACGTCACACATAGAGACTGTTTGCTGAAGTAAACATGGATGCCACCGGTGGAGCATAGCTTACGGTTTTGAAGTTGTTATTCGACCGCAGCCAGCACATTAACAACTTAATCCTCATTATAGTCCGCCATGGTTGTTATTTTTCTTCCCGCTTGCGAGTATCAAGGCGCAGAATAGTGACGTTTGTCGAGTATCAGTGACGTTTAGGTCGGACAAATGCGATCTGGCCGTTCAGACTCAAGTCACATTTGAAAAGATCGGATACGTATCGGATATCCAAACTAGCTTGGATATTCGAAGAAAAATCCGACCTGTGTTGTTCAGACTGTCATGAAAAGATCAGATACAGGTCGCATTAAGGCAAAAAAAAAAAAAAAAAAATCGGATTTGGGTCACTTTTGACTGCGGTGTGAACCGCCCACCTTATCAGTGCATCAGACCACTGAACGCCCTGTCCCTAAAAAACTTTTAATCCCAAAAGAGCATCCACAGGAAGTGGTGCAGCCAGCCTGAGGCCCACGCCCACCAGCATTCAGGATCTGCTGCCAACTTCCTGGAGCCAGACGCTGCAGGACACCCACTGTGCTCCTCTCACTCACTGGGACACCAATCATTTCACAGTGTGAAACATGTCAGTCTGCAGATGCTTATCTGGTTTTGCTTCATATTTTTTATTTTTTTTTTCCCCCAGAACACCATCACACAAGACTTGTGTGTGAAAACGAGCGTCTGAGGCTGATGTGTAAAAACGAGTCCGTCCTCGCCATCTACTCTGCTACATTTGGACACCTGCTTCATGGAAGTCCCAACTGTCCTGAGGAGCCGGGATCAAAATCCAACATGGGTCTGAAGCAAACATTTGGTGATAAACAGGGGAAAAACTGTTTATCTGTGAGGTATGATATATATTTGTCTGTTTTGTCTGTTTCAGAGTGCTTGTCAGCTGTGGCTCTGAGGAAGGTTTCCCGCAGGTGTCACGGCAGAGAAAACTGTTCAATCTTTGCAGATACTCAAACCTTTGGGGACCCTTGCTTCCCCGGCACCAGGAAACACCTGCGAGTCTCCTTCACTTGTGGTAAGTAACAGGGTGGATCTTGTTATCCACAGCTGAGGCACACCACAAAAACACAAAATCTTACTAGGTATTCTTGGTTTTTAGTGCAAATATCTTAGTATACTTGAAATAAAACAAAACTAACTTACAAGTAAATTTTCAGCAAGATGTAAGATTTTTAGTAAATAATTCATTAATATTGACAAAAGTACTATTGCCCTGGCAGATTACTTCACTAATAACAAGACATTTTCCCCATGTTATAACTGAACTAGGATTTTTTCATTAATGTTATGGTGATAATTATGATACAAAGAAGGATTCTTCATAAAATCAGGAAAATCATGGACAACCCTGACCATTATCTTCATCAGATCTTGGGAAGACATAGTGTCTTCAGTCAGAGGCTTTTTCAGATTCTCTGTAATACAGACCGCTAGAAGAGTAGATGCCAATAACCATCACTATTTACTTTTTCAAGAATCTGAATTATTTTTTTCATTTTAACTGAATTGAATTGAATATTAAGGAATTACTGACTTAAATTAAACTCCTACATCTTGCTGGAAAGTTATTTGTAAGTTAGTTTTGTCTTGTTTCAAATGTAATAAAATATTTCCACTAGAAGCTAGACCAAAAATACTTGATAAGTCTGTATTGTTGCAGTGCAGCATGTAAACATATAATTTCCTTTTTAGTGCCCAGATATCTTCTTGAAGATGTGGGTCGAGGGTCGACTGACCCCTTCATGATCTCAGACCTCACACACGGTGAGGCACTAATCGGATTTTCTCAGGTTTTGTTGCACGATCTGCCCGGCTGACTGGTCTCTGAGCCCAGACCCCTCTCACCTGCAGGTGGATGGTACACTGGCCCCACCTACAGGCCGCAAAATGTGCTCTTTACCAACTGTCTGGAGATCATTGAAAAAATATTGGGTATGTGCTCTGATACCCTGAGACACCATGGGGTCAAGTTTTTTAATGGACCCTTCTGATATATTTGCCCACAAATATATCAGACATTTTTGAAAATGTTATTTTCAAAAATAACATTTATTTTTGAAAATGTGTTTCTTACTAACTTACAGAGAACTCAAGTTAGGTAGAAGTTAAGCCAGAGACATCAGCATTCTAAATAATTAGTTGTGGCATTTGTGTAAGGGTTTCTTTTTGTTGCTTTCTGTTCATCCCCACACGATAGAGAGTGGGCGCCCCCTTATGTTACATAAATGCATCTGCTTGTTTAGAAAATGTGCAAATGTCTGTACACTTATGAAAGAGTGAAAAGTGGAAAGATAGGCTCACCCATCGAGGCATATATCAAATCTGACTTCGTTCAAATAAAAGCAGCTGTAATGAGTTTTCTGAATGATTCATTACCCTTGAACATTGCCAGATTTTCCATCCATCCATCCATTCTTTATGGCTGCTTATCAACACACATTGAATGCTGTTGTTTTCCCAGAAATTTTGCACATGCGCACAATGTTTGAGGGCAAAAAGCCGATCATATTATTTGTCATCTGTAGTTGCGATGCTGCAGTAGAACAAACCCAGTCAGCAAAATGAGACCTGGAGATGTAGGCGTTATTAATTTAGTGAAGAGCACCACAGCAAAGGAAAAAACAACCCAGAAAAACTGTGAAGAACAACTCAAAATGCCTCTTATTCTTTTTTCTCCATATGGTCTACACTACACATAGACACGTTGCCATAGCAACTGACTGACAACAGCACCACTAATGTATGAGGATTCAACACCAAAAAACACAAATATTTCCCAGAAAAAGAACAAAACATGGTCCATGGTAAAAGTGTGAAAAAGCTTAAGGCCTATGAAGAATTTTGCTAAGAACTGTAAAGTATCACAATAAACAAAAATAAACACACCTGCCTGCACACAATTAACCATGCCAATGTTGAGGATTCCTGCAGTAATGCTGATGGTGGGTGGGGTATGGTTGGTGTCAATTTAAATCTGTTGCTGGGGAAAAATGTTCAACGACCAACCAGATTCTCTCTGCTTTTGTATTAATTTTATTTTAAAGCCACTTATTTAGTCTTGGATAGTAACTGTATGAACATTTTTGCATTTTAGAACTTGAGGTGAATTTATTCCTGCTGCATGCTGATATAATTACATCTTTGGTCTACATCGGGGGTGCCCAAAGTCGACCCTCGAGGCCCGGCATCCTGCATGTTTTAGTTCTCTCCCTGGTGGTGGTAAAAACCTTTACAGCATGTCAATGTTCTCCTTAGGTCTTCTAATGAGCCATCATTTGATCCGGGTGCGTTAAACCAGGGAGAGAACTAAAACATGCAGGATCCCGGCCCTCGAGGACCAACTTTGGGCACCACTGGTCTACATGAATATGGAGTGTCTTTGAGTTGTGATTAATGATCCCTCTCCTCTCCTGCAGGTCTCCCAGAGAGAGTGGCTCTGTACTTTGTCTCTGGTATTTGTGCCGGTCTGGTGTTCCTGCTCTGTCTGTTCGGGCTTCGCTCCACACTAGTGAGAGACGTTAAAGATCTGGTTTCTGACCTGAACTATCAGCTGAAAGCCTCTCGCAGGCAGCGCAAGGAGCTCATGGACGACCTCTTTGACGAAGACGTCTCGGACACTTCGTCCTTCCGCCACCTCACGCAGTCCTACCGCGCAACGGAGACTTTAAGTCCGTCCACCTTGTCAGTGGAACTGGTTGAGCGAGAAGTGCAGCAGACCAGAGCTCATCCCAAAGGAGACATCTGGCCACAGCTGGACTCTAGTCCTTATGCCATTCACAAGATTAAAACGTACAGCAACTGATTAAGATCTGACAGAAACAAAAAGGAACTTTCATTTGCTGGCCGTCATTAACGTAGCAAAGGTTTAGTAGGATTGGTGCGTTTAAAATCAAAACTGACCACATGTTCTTTTAATTAATAATATCCTCATATGAAGATCTTCCACCACTTTAACTGTTTTTATTAAACTGGTTTGTCTAATGTATGAAAAATATGAAATTAACACAATGTAAAAATATTAAAACTAATAAAAATTGATTGGTACTCTATGCAGTGATGTATTTCTGCATCCATGCACCCAGCCTGCATTTATTTATTCTAGTGGAGCCTACTTGCTGATAGGTATTTATAAATAATAACAAACGGCACTACTAGAGATTTTAAACAAGCTTTGATATAATATCCTTCAAATTGGTTCAACTCCAGTCTCCTCTGTCTAAGATGTTAATTAATTCTGGTGTAGAGCACAGAATCACCATACTGATGGTTATTAAATCATGAGATACATGGGCCAAAATTATTAGCCAAAAATACTCACAGGCAAAAAAAAAAAAAATTAAAGAAATTATTTTTATTTTTATTTATTTTTTGTGATAAACAGATGTTTAGTACAAAACCTAAAAACATAGTCAATAACTTTTACAAAAACATCTTCGGCGCTGGCTAGCCATCTAGCCACCTAGCTAACTAGAGCTAACCCGTGGTTATCTAGCTGAATTTAGTTTTGTAAGATTTTAGAATAAAAGAAAGTGTTACTGCATACTCCGTGGTATGGAGTTAGATTTGTTTCACAATTATTCAATCAAAAAAAAAAAATCATGTCAAACAAAAAAGTAGTATTCAATAAAAAAAAATCTTTAATTTTTTTGTTTCGTAAAAAAATATTTTTATAATTAAAAACTTTTTAAGATTTTTTTTTTTTTTTTTGACATGATTTTTTTTTTGATTGAATAATTGTGAAACAAATCTAACTCCATACCGTGGCAGTAGGAGGCAGTATAGGATTTAGTCCTGATCCGCTGAAGTCTGGAAGATGAAGTCCGTCCGTGTTGACGAACGTGGGTGGAGGAGGGAGCCTACATAGCGATCTCTTTACTGGAGGAGCAGCGGTGTATCTGCTCCTAACTGTCCGCTCACGCTATGTTGCCCCACCGGTTGGCCTCCTGACACCGAGCGGGACGTGAAGAAAGCGGGATAACATAAGCGTATGTGACAGAGTTATGGACGCTAATCGAGATTTGTGGAGCTCTACGACTTGTTGAAACATTTGAGACTCCCTCCAGCTGCTGCTAGCATTAGCCGCTGAAAACAAACAGCTGCCCGGAAGGAGGCCGCCGCGGCGCCGGGTTGGGATTTAACTTTCCTCGCCCCGACATTCCTGCCGATCCCACACAAAGCCAACCGCGAAGGGGTATTTATGTGATCCGGGTAAGAATGGAGTCCACTTTGGGGATATCCAACGAGGAATGCTTGGCAATATCCTTTCAGTGATGTTTACATTTTATTTTTTAGTTGGGGTTAGGCTAACGTTAGCTTTATGTATCTGATAAGAACACAACCGACTTTTAATGCCCTGCTAACCATATGAACATATAATGCTACTAACATTGACTAAACCTATTTATATTTCAGTAACAGCCATTATTTAATGTAATGTTGTTGCTTCCAAACTGCATCCCTCTTGTCCTGTTTTCCGTCAGATTATTTTGACTCCTGTTTTCACTTTCTATGGCTTCATTTTAACATCTATCTGCTGCCAGAATGAAACTAATCGATTATTCGGCGCAGTGGGGTAATGTTTGAGTTGAACAGGCCCTTTGTTGTGATGTCCGCACTGCTCCCTCATCCTCCATCACATTGATTCCTTGATTGAGCTGCTCACACTGTGAAAGGTCAAGAGCTGAGGTCTGGCCAGAAGGAGCCCAGACTGCTGTCTCTAATTGAACGCAATGGAGAGTTTATGTAAGTATCAGATATATAAAAACAGGTTTTAGTGTTGGACAGCTGGTAAATCAATAACAGATTGAGTTTGTGTTAAGACATTTTTTTGTGCACTGATCATAATTTTCAGCTAATTTCGGAGCTCTGGCTTTGTAAAGCTTTAACCTGCTTATTTTTTTAACTGATTCTGTTTTCTCTTTAATAACTAATATGAGAAAACATAAAAACATCATTCAAAATATTTTTAAACAACGCATCTTTCGTTGAGTGAAGGAAGTGTCCTGCCACATTGTCAGAAATAAATCATTTTAAATTCACAAAATTAAATACATTATGTAACTTATTGATTTTCTGCTTATAGCTAATGGAAATAAAGAAACATTTAAGATCAGAATGCAACAATAGACCACTGAAAACAATTTTAAGTATAAAAATATGGGCTAATAAATAACAAGTATGTTTAATAACGGCTTAAAGTTATTTTCAAAAGTTACTCATTCATACTCTTATAAATGAGCGATTATGACTATTTTAATGATTATCCAAACAGTAGTTTCCACTTGTTTTCCATTAAAATGTTTCATGAAAGAATCTGGCATTTTAAAAAATGTGATAAATTTCAAAAGGATAAAGTTAACCAATATTCCTATACTCTTTTCAGCCATCTTGAGTTTAATTACTTGTTACTTAGTAAAAGCTCACACTGAGGAGTGTTGTTGAAAATTAAGCTTTCTTGTCTTAGTGTAACCCTTCTTTGTTCGTCTCAGGTCCAGTAGGTTGACTTCGCAACAGACGCACTCATGTTCATTGAATTTATTCTAACAAGAGAGAAAATTAAGTTGTTTTCTGTCCATTTACATCAAATAAAATACAATGAATAAACCTACACAAAAGACAGAGCAATGGCTTCCAATGAGCAGTTTACAGTTGTAAAATTAAATACAGCTAATTATGATAATGGTTAAAAAAAACAGGACAAAGTTGCATATGAAACCGTTTATATAATTAAATTTGTCTTAAATATATGCTAAAATATAATGCCTATAAAGAAAACGCAGAGCTGATCTGAATAAATACCACAGTCCCAGAAGGCCACAGAAAAAAGGGGGAGGAGCTGTCGGTTACCGGTTGCTATGGTAACCACCAACGGTCAAGAGCAAAGTAGCAATAAATGTCAGGAGCACATCACAACTTTTGACTAAACAAAAAATAATTTGAGGAATAAATGAACAATTTTGACAAACTCCGCATCTACATTATTGTTGAAATAAAACCCTGTTACATTGGTACATATTGATTTTTGCGACGATGGTTGTTGTTCAGTGTATTGTGTGGATCTGTGGGGCACAAAATAATTTCTCAGTGCAGGATTTCAGTGTTTGGTGTTCTGCCTTATTTGGATTGGCTGCCATGGAGCCTGAATGTATGTCATGTATGCAGAGTTGTGTATATAAGAAATGTCTCATCAGTTAACATCCAGCGCCCTACTTTATAAACAAATATGGCTTTCAACATGCAAACATGCAAGATAATCAAAGCACTTTCGAGAAGTTGTCACCCGAACAATGTCACACTGACAGACAGGATGTGTTGTTGGAAAGCAAAGCTGATCCAGGTTGAATCAGAACTTTTTGATTCCAGGAGTTTTAGCTGAATGAGAAGCTTTTTTGTTGCCACTGGATTGTAATTTAACAGGAAGTCATGCGGTAATCATGGCTAGTGTCCGTTTGGCAGCTGCAGCGTTTGCTTAGTGATAGTGGGAGCTGTGTGTCCAACCACCAGTATAGCTCCCAGTAAGTTCCACCATCATCCACCTCACCGCAGATTACTCTGAATTCCTTCGCTTGGTCTTGGGCTGTAATGAGAGTCACATGGGCTCCAAGCCTCAGGCTGTTTAAACAACATTAACTCATCCAAGAAGCAGTTCTGATGGGCCAAATTAAACTATGACGGCTCAAATAAAATGTATACATTTTGTCATACCTTTATATAATGAGTAATGATAATTGATTTATTCACCATGAAAGTTGTCTGTTTTATAGTAGAAAACTGGAAATGACTGCATACTTCTTATTTTCGTTGTACCAATCTGAGGGAATTTAATTAAATTGCTCAAAATAGGGAAGATAAAAATTATAAATCAGAGTGAGGGAAACAAAACATGTTGACTGGTTAATAAACAAAACAACAAATAAAATTAATCGAGTCTAAACAAAATTGTCCTTCAAAATAAAAAGACTTGTTGAGACCAAAAGACAGACTAAAGACTTTCATCATCCAGTTTTTGGTAGAGAGCGAGAGAGAAAGGAGAAAAATAATAAATAATGCAAATGGAAATTATTGGGCTTGTTTTAATTTATCATGTGATTAATTGATTTATTGCAGCATGCCTATGAATGACCCAAGTCATCTCAGACTAAAGGGAGACTAAATCCTGCCCTCTTGAACGTTGCCTAGCAACAGAAACTTGGTCACTGTTTTTAAACATCTGTTTCCAGTCATTTTGACTGTTCACATCCATAATTTTGTAAGATCCACTCTTTGCACTAGTAGCACTCCATAAGCACGATCCAGATTCAATTTTACAAGCATACAAAAGGTTGAATGTAAACATGAACAATTACTGGCCTATAAAAACTAACAATTATGAAGCTGAACTCTGTAGTTTTATTTGTTGAATAAAACAGATTTTATCTGCAGCTCATCCATTTGTAATACTTTTTGATAGAACCATAAATAAGGAATATCTAGGTTATATATTTCACACAAAGATTTTTGTTTTTTTATTCTCTGTAGGTAAAGTTAATATTAATTTAGGTTAGCTTTATTTTGAAATTCAGTTTTTATTTTGAAAGACTTCTTGTTGAGCCATATTTTTGACGATGTTTGTCGTGTTTTGATGGAAAGAAAGAAAAGACATTAAAATACATTATTTTTGGATTTTCATTTTTTAATTTTATTTTTGTTTTTTTAGTTAAATTCATTATGCTTTTCCAAGATAAACACAGATGTCGAATCTGTTGCCATAACCCTTTTCTTTAGGACACCAGTTGCATTAAAAAGTGTGATTTGTTTCACTAAACTGCTGCGTTTATATTTTTACATTTATTCATATTTGTTGATAATCTTATTGAACAAACTGTGGAGGAAATAGTGAAACCAACAATCTCTACAATACAGACAGTTTTTGTGGATTTTAAACATCATTAATGGGGAATTTACTGTGAAAATGATAAATAAAAATTCTTATCATGACAAGCAATGTATCATGATAAAAAATAAACAATATGATAAATTCTTACCGCTAGTATATAAGCAAAAGGTTCAAAGGTATATCATAAACAGGTTTCTCTTTTCTCTCTTCGTGTCATTTTTGGAAATATTCCTTAATGCAAAATCACCATAAACTGAAGGATTATTTTAAGATGACCTGGTTTTAAAACCAGAGCTGCAAAGCAGGTTAATTAATTGCGATAAAAGGTTGCCCAACTTAATTATTTTTATTCTCTATGTGTTGCTGTTCAAAGAGCAGACAGAGAGGTGATATTCTGCTCAATAATCACGTTAACTTGAAACCTAAATCCTGTTAGCTTAAGTCTTTGGCTGAAAGTCCTAAAAAATAAAAAAATAAACAAATTTCTCAAAAAAATTTAATTGTTTAGCAGCATTGGGAGTACTCTAGCAGATGAATATATTGTGAAGTTGTAGTATTTTCCTCTGGGTTATGATGTGACTGGATTCAGCCCCTTTGCAGTAGATTTTTGGTTGTAGTTTGTGACGTCTGAGGTTATCCCAGTTGATTCAGAGAACTCCCTGCGACGCATTTAGAAAGCTTGAGTCATTTTTATTGTGAAGTGAAAGAGAAGTCTGGGTAGAGCGCTGATTCAGTCCCAGTCAGATATCAGTTAGCGTTTCCCGCCCACATTAACACGCATCAAAGGTCTGAATCCTTTTGTTTTAAAACATCATAACTTATTCAGTTTTTCCCTCAGACTTGTCTTTATTAACTTTGAATGTAGAGCAGAGCCAGCCTGCTTGTTGTTTTTCCACCGTTGTTCCCTTATTCAGCTGATTTCACCTAACTGCAGATTAGTGGATGAATTTGCATGAATGCATGCTCTCTTTTTAAATACTAAATTTGCATTTTGTTCCATTAATAATGATTAAAATCTTCCCAGCACACGCGTCTTACTTGTGCTGAATGATTGAGTTTTAATTGCATAAAGGGTTTTGTGATTGAAAAAGTAAATATTTCTGCAGCTGATCTGAATATGCTTTGTTTTTTAACCTATAAAACTGAATGGTTCAGTAATTTGAACGTCAGAATCTGTGCTGCTCTCATCTAGATTGGGCGTTTTGGCCACTCCTGATGCTGTCGTGTCTCGACCAGTGGCCCAGTTATCCATACCTGTGAACCAGAAATTTGAAATTATACGAGGTATGTATCTTTTTTTCCTCTCAGCGTTAGACATTCACTTTTATTCTGCATATTCTGATAATTATTATTAAATATTCTGTAACTTTAAAACGGGTAAAGAATTCAGTAGAACATGGTGTTTGTGATGTTTAGTGTATTAAACATTTTCACCTGCAACCTTTGTTATTGGGATTTGATGTGTAGAAAAGTAGTGTGTGTATTAATGTGAGGGAATGAAATAAAAACCACGTGTCATTTTTCTCTTTAGCTTTTGGTTGTAATGTGACCAGGTCACATCTCTGTAATGTGAAAGTTAAACTTTCACTTTTTAATTTCCACTTCAGGGAGACATCAAATCGTTTCCTTCTGAAAAACCTGCAGGTTCATTCCCACCGCCGACCTTTGAACTTAACCGTTTTCCTTTCTGTTTCGTTTCCCTCCAGAAGCTGAAGAGGCTCTCCTGATTGACTTTTCTGACGATTGTGAGTTCTTCTTGAGTTTAACTTTATGCATCCAGTCAGCTTGTTACAAGTTTCAGACTCATATTTGCAGAGTTTAGTTCAGCTCCCTTTTCCAGACTTATATTTTTAGAGCAGGCCTGCAGCCCAAAGCTGCTTTATTTAGCAGCAGAGCTGGGTCATAAGTTGCCAAGGCTCGCTGAAGGAATGCTGATTTAGGTCACTGGTGTGTCCCATTTCTTCTGTTTCTCAGCCACTTTGTGTTTTAATGTGTTTGCAAAATCCAAACGTGTCTGACATGCAGGTGCTTTTTCCTCAGCGAGTGTTACAATACGAATCAGAGGAGAAAAGTCTCCAGAGCTGTTGCTGGAGCTGCAGGACGATGAGCGGACCCAGACGTTCTTAACCCAGGTGAAAAGCGCTCAAGAGCAAGGTGAGGCGATTAATTATTGAGTCACTCATCTAACATTTATTTACCAAGGGTGGATTTCGCCACGCTGCTCTGATCTCTGCTCTCCTGTGCACACCAGGAAACACACCTTGGATTGCGACTTTTAAAACTGACTTTTCCACTTCAGCTGCACTCAAACCAGAACTACACACCAGTCCTGCCGCAGTAAATCAGTTAATGGCATGGAAAATAAATACTAGCTCAATGGTTTCCATTTGCATGATTTATTGTTTTTCTACCAAAAACTGGTTGACAAAAATCTTCAGTCTGGAGCTTTGTATCCTGTTAATGAAGGATAATTTTGTTTACAGATACTTTATAATTAATTTTATTTATTAGTTCTGTTGTTTTTGTTTATTTATTGTGGATATTTAAAATATCTTCCAGTTTAAGTGTTAAATGCTCTTTATTGGTCTTTGAAAGAGGGAACTTTAATTATTACTTGAAAATTGTCTTAAAACAACAATAATATCATTTATTACAATAATTACTTGGATGATTTATCGTTTGGCAATATTTGTTATTGTGACATGAACTCCAATGGACAGAGTTATCTCTACACGGTGAATTATTCTGTCCTAGTTTTGTGTTTGTTTTCATGAGAAATAAAAAAATAACAGGAAATCTAGCGAGGAATCACTTATATGAAGTGTAATTTATGCTGGTGTTGAACATTTTCATTAACTTTTCAGAGTGAATATTTAAACTGATTCATTTTTATTTCAGATTTTGTAGCCACGAAAATGTTTGCATGTATCTTCTATTGATATTGATATATTTATTATTTTTTCAGTTTTGCCTGATTTATGCTGGTAAATCCATCAATTCCATTTTAACTAAGTTTTTCTTTTTTGCACCAATTCAGAATTATGCATGTCTCAAGGCACCTTTTAAAAAAACGGTCCAGTTTATCCAGTCAAATTCATTTAAATTTGTTCCAAATTGATCCTAATTATCAAACAAGACGGTTCAGTTCAGTTTATCAATAAAATTTAAAAAAGTCAGACATGCATCATTCACTCATCCTGCACTACCATTGGATTGAGTCTTTGACTTTGCAAAATTCCCTCATTCTGAGGATGCATGTGGCGACAGTCGGGAGGAAAACTTGTCTTTAACAGGAAGTGAGTAGCTGCACTCTCTCCTGAATAAAGAGTTATGTGGCGATAACTCGCAGAAGAGGTTAAATGAGGGTGAACATCACTTACCTTGAGTTTACTGAAGTAATAAAATAATGTTCTCAGCTTTTAAATGAGTTTTGGAGGTCATGAACACGAAAATAGCTTATGATTGAGTAAAAATGAGTGATTTAGGTTGTGGCTGCAGCGTCTGATAGAAATCATAACCAGGGAATTGTGAAAAAATCTTTGTTCTTCTTGTGTTCCAGTCATGCACTGACAGATTGCAGTAATAGGAGACGTATTGTGTGTAAGTTAGGAAAAAACACGTTTTACGAGCAGTATGGTTGTCTAAATGCTGACTTAGCTGCTTCCTGGCTTCTCCGTCAGTGAGATTTTTAAATTCCTGTCCTGGTTGCCGCCTGTGACCAACTTCCTGGAGAGATAAAGATTTTAAAGGAGGGTTTTACTTTGAGTTTCCTTCTTCAACCTGTTCATCCAGTTTGACCATTATATTCACTGTTTGCTTTTCTGAAGAAAGCCACTATGCAGACTCTTCTAAAGTTAAAGAAAACTCACTGTTTGTGTCGTTTGTCCTGTTTGGAACAACATTGCATGATCAAATTTTATTAGTTTTTATTCATTTAACGTCATTCCTCTGATGACATCACACTGGGTAGAACAGCATACATTTTAAACGTTTCTTGTCTTGTTTCCTAATTTTTTTTCATGCTTTCTTTTAAAAACAATCTAATTCAATCTCCAAACATGGTGACTTGCACTTTGTATTGCTGCACCAAAACATTTAAGCCGTATGTGAGAACGCTGCATATTTCAGGAGAAAATGACAAGAATAAAACAAACAATAAAAGGTTTCTGATGAGGGCTGAGCTTCATGATTTTTCTTTTTAGTCAAACCTGCTGTAGAAATTGTGGTTTACTTAATGCATTCATTTAGGTCAGAGGTGTCTTAAAGTTTTGCATTGTGGACTAAAATATTCAATCTCAAAAATGGAATACAAAAATACTATGAAAATAATTGATTTTGAAAGACTTTTAAACTAAAATACACCTCAAAAAACTGAACTCACTTTATTTTAATTAAAATGTTCCAAATAGGAATTGTATCTGTAAACTGCCTGAAATGGCTTATCAAAGCTGTACAGTTTCTTGAATTTTTGGGTTTCTTTTTCGTTTATTTGACCTTGAGAAAAAATCTCTGAATTTCAATTTTTGTTATTTTTTTCATTAAATGTTTGTCTTTTGCAGTCGTCTGCTGAAACAGATGAAAGTTACTTTGGTGTTTGCGTTTCTCGAGGACATCAGCTGTTCTTTATGCTCAGATGAATGTTCTAAGACATAAATATTTGCTTATTTTAAATTTTCCTCTGACTGATCTGTTAATCTGTCCAGTTGCATCCAAGCCAAGTAAACCCAAAGCGATGGAGCCGCTCACTCCAGCGGCGTATCGAGGTCCGGTTCCGGTTCCACCACAACGAGCCACAAAGACCGCCAACAGCAGCGGAGACCACCAGACCAGAACCTGCACAGCGCCGGTCTCCAACCTCAACAACGCAGCAGGAAATCATAATGCCTGCGGTAAAAATCAGCTTGTTTACAGTTTAAAATGTTAGTTTGACATCTGAAACT